CCTGAGCCTAAGGGATTTCCCGCCTTGGCCTCCCAGAGTGCTAGGATTACAGGCTTGAGCCACTGCGCCTGGCCCTACAATTTTTTTAAGCGTAGTTTAAAAGTTAGCATCACGCCCGCCTGAGCAAGAGCAAGACCCCCATCTCTACAAAAAATAGAAAAATTAGTCGGGCTTGGTGGCACACGCCTGTAGTCTCAGCTACTTGGGAGGCTGAGGCAAGAGGATTACTTGAGCCCAGGAGTTTGAGGCTGCCGTGAGCTATGATGACACCACTGCACTGTAGCCTGGGCGACAGAGTGAGACTGTCTAAAAATAAAAGCATCACAGGAGATGCAGTCAGCAAAATCCAGAATATTAGAACACAACAAATGACTTGATTACTTTGCTGACTGACCAAGTTTCTTCAACGAATTGCAAGGAAAAGAGAGAGCGGGGGAGGAAAGGAACCTGACAGGGTAAGAGACATCAACCAAATAAAATGTACACACCTCATTTGGATCTCGGTGCAAAGAAACCAACTGTAAAACTTTTGAGTCAATGGGGAAAATTTGAGCACTGACTGGATATTTAATTATAACGAATTACTAGTTTCTGTATGACATTCTTAAAACATGCCAATGGTTATGTATGTGTTTTAAGAATCCTTACAGAGATATGTACTAAAATATTACAGATGTAATGATTTCTGGGGTTTGCTTCAAAACAGGTTGGGGAAATTTATGTAGAAGATTAGCCTTGCCCCACAGATTTCTTTGTGATATGTAATAGTGGCAGCCAAATGTGTTTACTTTTAATTGAGCAACACATGATACGTTCAACTCTCACCCAGTTTGCATCCACTCTGTGAAATGGAATCTAGAAAACAGGAATTTAAGTATATGTTAAACTGACATTTTGACTAGGTGCTTATGTTTAATGGGAGCTGATAGAGATGGAACCAAGATTGCTCCATGACGGATGTAGCAAACCAAATACACAGAGGAAGCCACAGTCAAACCTCTGAGCTCTCAGCTTGCCGATTCTGACCACCCACCTACTCACTCTTCCCCGCCAAGCTTCAGAGGCGAGCAATTGAAAATAAAAGCAGCCTTTACCTAGGAACTTAAATCTAAAAAGCAACTTGAGCTCAGTACCAAAGTTAGCTCAGTCAACGATCTCTAACATGTCCAGACTGATGATTATGATTACTGCAGTTCAGAATGATAACCCTAAGGATTTGATTTAAAATACATAAAATTAAGTGGCAGAGATCTAGATGATAAACATAGAATTTCAAACTTACCTTCTCTATCTTGCTATTTCTATATATTAGAACAGGTTTATTTAGATTTTTGAGACAACTAATTACACCTAGTACATGATACTTTTTACCACAACTGCTACTCACAAAATACTACTTGTGAGCAAAGCTAATTTCACCAGTCACAAGTGGACCAAATATAGTAGTTAACCTCTCTTAGCTTAGCATGTCTCAGAATATTTCGTCATGTGACTGCCTTGAAAACAAGGACGGTGAGCTTTGATTATGTTGCTCCATTGCTTCTTCTCTGACTTAAACGGTATCAGTTAGACTTCTTACTGAAAAAGCAATAGAACAACACAATCGATTTACTTGTCTGTTCAGCAATCATTTATTGTTTCTGTGTGCAAGGCACTATGTTAGGTGCCAGGAGAAGGAAGAAGATACAACTATCAGTATGTGTACTCTGCCCTCCAGGAGCGTACAATCTAAAAGGAACAATAAATTGCATAAAAATAACTATAATACCAGATAGAAAGTGGTAAGTGCCACAGGAGATTAAGTACCATAGGAAGCTTTCTTAGCTTTCAACTTCAAAGTAAGATCAGGTCAGGGGAAGCAGATTTGGACTTTTATTCCATTTTCAGCTGTGTGGCAGGCATGAAAGGCGGCTGAGGGGGCCTGGTAGGCTTTGATGAACTGAGCTGCACCTTAGATCCTGCCTCCTCAGCCCTCTCAGCTGAGGTTCCAGTGATTATCAAGGGCACCTGCTACCGCTGAAAGAATGGAAGGAAAAAGACAAGTGAAAACAACACAGATAAAAATATGCACACATTCAGGTTCTTTGATCAAAAAAAAAAAAAAAATGCACAGCCGGGCACAGTGGTGCATGCTTGTGGTCCCAGCCATTTGGGATTACAAGGGAGGCTAAGGCTAGAGGATCCCTTAAGCCAGGAGTTGGAATCCAGCCTGGGCAACACAGGGAAACTCCATCTCTCTATAATGTAAAACCAAATGCACACAGCACCCCATGGTAGTCTGCGCTGACAGGATCCTAGGTACTGCCTTTATGGAGGGACAGAGAAGAGGAATGGTAAGGGAGAAAGAACACTGGACTAAACATCAAGATTCCAGATGCTCATAGTTATGAAACCTTGGGCAATTTCTAGGCCCCAGTTCTTTATCTTTGGGATGAGGAAGTTAGACCAAATGATCTTTAAAGTCTTCTGCAACTCTCCAATGAAAAGCATGGAAAATTAACCTTTTGCATCTTTTTTTTTTTTTGAGACAGAGTCTCACTGTGTTGCCTGGGCTAGAGTGCCATGGCGTCATCCTAGCTCACAGCAACCTCAAACTCCTGGGCTCAAGCGATCCTCCTGCTTCAGCCTCCCAAGTAGCTGGGACTACAGGCATGCGCCACCATGCCCGGCTAATTTTTTCTATATATTTTTAGTTGTCCAATTAATTTCTTTCTATTTTTAGTAGAGATGGGGTCTCGCTCTTGCTCAGGCTGGTTTCGAACTCCTGAGCTCAAACAATCCACCCGCCTCGGCCTCCCAGAGAGCTAGGATTACAGGCGTGAGCCACCGCGCCCGGCCAACCTTTTGCATCTTAACCACAGCTTTTTTAAAGTCAATGCTTTTGTCCCCCTTATTATTTGTAGAAGAGCCCCTAAAAGACAAAAAATTAGAGTGCCCCCCTTTCCTGGCTTTGACACAGACAACCAATACAAAGGAAGAGTTTTTGTTTCTAACCACAATTAATGTTTCAGAAGTAAAGAACTCCTCCTGCCTCTGTTATAAACAAGGCACCTTGCTGATTTGCTTGGCCTCAGCAACTTATGCTTGACAATATGCAAACTGACAGCCCAAAGGCTCTCTTAGCATATAGGTTTCTCTTTCGTCTATTAAGAATACTTGAGACCAGGTGTGGTGGCCCACACCTGTACTCCTAGCACTCTGGGAGGCCAAGGTGGAGGGGCGGCACTTGAGCAAGATCCCATCATTACAAAAAATAGAAAAATTAGCCAGGTGTGGTGGCACTTGCCTATAGTCCCAGCTACTTGGGAGGCTGAGGCAGGAGGATCACTTGAGCCCAGGAGTTTGAGGTTGCAGTGGGCTATGATGACACCACTGCACTCTAGCTGGGGAAACAGAGCAAGACCATCTCCAGAAGGAAAAAAAAAAAAAGAATACTGAATGAGAAGATAAAACATTTTGATCAAAAGTCCTACATCACCTTTAAGTTTCTTTAAGAAGCTTGTCTGTCTCTCAGTTCTAAAGTTCTCCAACAGCTTCATTGCTTTAAAAGCTTGAGTAAACCATTAAGAGGCACTGGAAATTAGGGGAGGTGGCAGAGTGAAGGGACTGTTTTAAACAGAAGGTGCCTCAGGGAAAAGGTAAGAAAGAGATGCAAGCAAAGTAATTTCCATGTTACAGCTTCCTGGCCCTTTGCCCGGCAGAAATATAAGACTACCACAAAGAGCAATTTCTGTGACCCCAAAGAGGCCAACAGAACCAGGTTTACTTTGCCTGCAATTTCACTGTTCCCTTCATGTGTTGCCAGGGCACTACTTCCATCCTTGAAACGTGGTCTATCTGTAGAAGGAGTTTAGCTTAGTGGATCCTTGCTTCTGCCAAGGCTAGACTTAGTCCAGGGCTGAAAGGACATGTAACATTTAATCTTTTGGGGACCACACACCTGTTTAGCCACCCAATTCTGTCTCACCAAGGGAATAATCCCTTTGGACTCTGCCATAAAACAGTCATGTTTTGCCTAAATGCCAATGCTTACGACAGCAACATTAAAGCACAAACCAGGACTAAGGATAAACCGCCAGGTTCACTTCACCCTGCGAGAGTTGGCAAACAGAGCTAAAGAGGTGAACTGCTCTCAACAACTCCAAGAATTTACAAATACAACTCCAAAGAACAGTTTGGTTAACACTGCTGTGTCCATGAAATGGCTTGTATTGGGTCTCCCAATTCATAAAGTGGTCAGTGCAGAAGGATAGAAGGATTAATGCGGCGCCAAGCAGAGCACTAACAGGCTCAATTTCACAGACAATGAATGACTAGTCCTGCTTCTAATCTGATTAGCATCTTCTACCAAATCACCTCTCCAAACCCATTAAAATATATATCAGAAAGATCAAATACAATTGGAACAATTACAACACAAAAACAAGACCAGCAAGAGCCAGTGGGATTTGATGGGTTTGGGGGTGATTGTGGAGGCAGTGGCTTTTAAATGAAACTCTTGATAAAATCTTGGTTGTTGATTTATTTTTCTTTCTGTAAGCAGGAATTGCATTGTACCTGTGCAAACGGCTTATAAGGTTTCACAAATTCTGCAAAGATATGTACATATATATATGTACATATCTTTTGCTATATATATATTGAAATGTCATTTTCTGTTAACATTCTTGTAAAAGACTTGTAGCTGACAGTCCCATATATCTTTAAACCATATTAAATGAAGTTGCCACAACATAGGCAAAAAGGTAATTAACATTTTTCCTTTTGTCCAGATTAATACTGTTGTTTTGTTCTGACTTTTCATTAGATTTGAAGAGTAGCTTTGCTCATCTCTTAAATTTTCCCTTTACGGTGTGTCCTTTGTTTCTTTGGCGTGCCAGGGTGGGACGGCAGTCCTGTTCCTACATACAGTAACCATCTTCAACATACAGGTGATGAAAACACCTTCGAGTGTTGGGGTTCAGACTAAAGTTGAGAACCAGAAATCTACAGAAACTCAATTCATGTTTTTTAAATACTTTATATGGTAAAAATACAGCAAAAATAGTTTTTTGTTCAAAGAGGAAAATATATACTGCTATGGTCACGGTTCTAAGGATGATTTAAGTAGTCTCTGGCTCCTCGACTGTGCTGTAGGTTGACTTCAACCACGGCTTCTCCAGCTTCAGTCATTTATCAAAGCTAAAATCATACTGTGGAAAGAAGAAATTAACGTTACTCGTGTTTCCTTAGGAATGTTCCTACAGAGTCTCGTCTGTCCAGACTTGCATCCCTAAGAGTCATCAAGGAACACTGGTTTGAGTAAAAGACAATCATTTATACCTAAAGGAAAGAAAATCTATATTAAGGCCTCTCAATAGCCTAATTTTTTCATTACAAAAAGAATAACTAGGGGTGGAGGTAGGGTGGGGAGAGTACAACCTAAAACCAATGTTGGGCTGTAGTTTAAAAAAATTAAGCTATGTCCAGGAAAAAAGCCCTGAATTCTCTAGCCAGATCTTCACATATACTGTCACCATCCCACCCCATCAACCCAGTAAACTCCTACTCAGGCTTCACGACTGCGCTCTAAGGCACCTCCTTTGGGAAGCTGGGCTCTCAGCGCAGGGCAGCCACAGAGCTCCTTGCACAGCTCAGCATCCGCCTGCACGCATGCTGGGCCCTGTAAGTCGGCCCTGCCACTGGAGCGTGAGCTCCTCTGAGATGGAAGCAGGATCCAGGCACTGCTGCTTTCATGGTCTACTACAGCACCCAGACTGCAACTACCAAGCTCCAAGCTTTTACCGTAGGGATTCTGTGCTGCTCCTTTGTGTCATTTGCAAGTGCCTTACACAATGTCTGCCACAACAGTCACTCAATAAATACGACTCTACCAGAACTGGCCCAGTTAAACAATGATAACAAAACCATCCTTTCCTTTTAAATACTGGGATCAGCCTTGCTCTGCTGAGATCAAGCCTAAAATACACAGAAATAACCGCACATTAGTCATGGTATAAATGATTCGTTGTCCAAATTTAACCATACTAAATTTATTCAATGCACAACACAAATTAATGGTAATAACTAAGATTTTTGAAAGACTTTTGAGAGTTTACTATAGGTCAGCATAAACCTAAGTGTTTTACATGCTTTATCCCACTTAGTCCACATTACAATCTGATGAGGCAGGTACTATTAATATCCCATTTTTAAATGAGCAATTGAGGCAAACAGAGGTTAGGAAACTTGCACCAGGTTACACAGTAAGTGGCAGAACCCAGATTCCACTAGGCTAGCACCTAACCAAAAAACCAAAGGTATAAATTCCTTTATACCTTTTTTCAAAACTTCAGTTCTATTTGACAAGCCATGCATGTCTGCTATGTGCAAGGTACCGTGCAAGGTGTGGCAGGTGTTGGATACAAAGAGGAGCAGCATATAATCCATGATCTGGTAACAAAACCCCTTTTTAGCAACGGCAACCAGCGTCAAGAGAAAAGTGCTACAAGGACACCTTCTGACACTACTCTTTCATCCTGACCCCTTCAACTATGAGTGACACCAAAGGGTAAGGTAAGGGCTGAAAATGACAAGCTGAGAGGGAAGGGAAGAGAGACAAGGAAAGGAGGCAGCCGGTGAAGAATGCAGCTGCCAGGCAGACCAGTTACATAGGTTGCATACCTTTTATGTAGTTGTGAAGAACCACACCTTAACCCTGTCCCCAAATTGCTTCTTGATTCCTCCAGTCCATCTTTCCACTCCTTTAAGTTCAACAACTGAGAACTCAGAAACTCTTGTACCTTTTTAAATCCTAAGACTTCGGGTCTACTAAGCAAGATACTGCTCCCCAATCGTACATTTACTCCTTAAAGTGTGACCACATAGGCGGTACATACAGCACTGCCCCAAGAAAGCTCATGTTCCAAGACCCAGGGACTGTCTGCTCTAGTTAACTCTCCAACAGTGTAAAACCTATGAAGTGGGGGGCATTAAAACAGTAACCTTAGCTAAACCAACACCAGCTTATTTTTTGTCTCTTCAAAAACAAATATAAAGGCCGGGCGCAGTGGCTCACGCCTGTAATCCTAGCACTCTGGGAGGCCGAGGCGGGCAGATTGTTTGAGCTCAGTTCGAAACCAGCCTGAGCAAGAGTGAGACCCCGTCTCTACTAAAAATAGAAAGAAATTAATCGGACAACTAAAAATATATAGAAAAAATTAGCCAGGCATGGTGGTGCATGCCTGTAGTCCTCAGCTACTTGGGAGGCTGAGGCAGAAGGATCGCTTGAGCCCAGGAGTGTGAGGTTGCTGTGAGCTAGGCGGACGCCACGGCACTCACTCTAGCCCGGGCAAAAGAGTGAGACTCTGTCTCAAAAAAAAAAAAAAACCAAATATAAAGGAACCTATATAATGGTAAAGATACCTTCATATGTTAGTTTGACCTAAAAAAGTAATGAAAATGAGAAGAGCTGCATCATTATGTTCTTAATATTAAATTTTTTTGCTCAATATTTTTCATCTTTGATACTTGGATTAAAAATAAAGCACATTAGTGCTGAGGTAGGATATGAGAACCAGAAACTGACACCAGTGTGCTTTTTCTGTCCTAGTATTTAAAAAAATACAGAAAAGTAAATAAGATGAATGGTGAAAAGGAAACTATCTAAACTCTAATTTTAATCTAATCTACACTAATGGGTGGATTAGCACAGTGAAAGGATTTAGGAAGCCTGCTTTATCAGACAGAGGCTAAAACAGCTCTGACTTCTAAACTATTTCAAACAAAATAGCAATTCTTAAAAACTGGTATCTCTGTACAGTTTCTAATCAGGAATCTTCTGAGTGGTAGTTTACTTCAGTACAAGTTTTTCCTAAGAGTCCTTATGCCTATGTGAAATATTAAAATTTTCCAAATGGAAAAAATAGGAATGATCTAATTAAAGCTTTGATACAAAGGTTAAGCCTGGCTTCTAGCCTCTTAAAGGCTTAATCAAACCATACACACAAATGAATTTTTTTCTCTCCTTTGCTCTCTTCTACGGGTCTATGATGGATAAAGGAAAAAGTGGCATGTTCACCTCTAAAATGTAAGGGAATAAATTTAAATTTAAAACAGTACTACATAAGGCTTCCAGTGTTTGACAGCCAATCGTCATACTTCCATTCTTACTTCCAATGTGTTATAACTGGAAGACTGATGCAGTTTTACCAAAAGAGACCACTTAGCATGCTGGAGAATCAGCATCACACCTCAATTCCTCCCTGCCAAGAAAGATCGGCACAATTTGGATATAAGTTGTTGAGAGCAGCTGCCACTAATAGGATCCCCCAAAACTCATGAGTGGGGTTGTCTCTGAGGGTAAATACATTAATGCTTACAACAGGCAGTGAAACCTCACAGCTGGATATCGGGGGATGAAAAGAATAGCAAAGACAGTTTTAACCATGTTCCTAGCCGCAACAGCTAACACATAACTAAGATACCACAGACTAAATCTATTGTAGGTCGGACAGAATACTGATACAAGGACATACATGAACAATCTACACAGCCACAAGAAATTCACATAATCCCCCAAAGTTCTGAAACATCAGTGCAAAATCCCACAGTATAGTAGTATCTCACCCATCAAAAACAAACATGGCATCTAGGAAAATGCTAAACTTACCTATAAAGATACATGAAGAAACAGAGCAGGTGGAAACCAAGCTTGATCATGGCTTCTTTCATGTGTGACTTCAGCTGCCCTCTATTGTGTATTTCTGTTGGATCAAACACTCCCATGTTACCACTTGGCACCATAACGTATCTGATAAATTGAAGGATACACACATTAGAAGGAAAATCATAGGCATAAATATTAAAAAACAAGTAACCAATAATAATCAACCTCTAAAAGTGAACCATAATCAATGAAACTCAGAAGTAAAAAAAATAAAAAAAAAATAAAAAAAAAAGTGAACCAATTATAGCAGCTTTAAATTCAAACCAAATACAGACAGAGTAATATGATGACATCGTGGGCTACCACTTAGTTTTCCTTTGGAAGTTATAATACTGTTAATTTTCTGCTCTCTGAAACAAATATAGTAACATTCTAGAGAAGGATGTTTTATGCATTTGGACCTTTTACCTATCTTCTGTAGAAAACTACCAAACCAGTCATACCTGTAGCCCTTTCCCATTAGATACAGATTAAAGGAGGCTCTAAAACCAAACCAATTTTATCAACTTCTTAGAAACCTCTTTATGGAAATTGGGAAATTAAGGAAGTTGGGTTATTTTGAGAGGATCAATGAGTTTAAGTTTCTGGCCTCCAACATCCAGACTGTGCCATTTGTATAACATACACGTCCTAACCCAGCACTGTCCAAGAACTCCTCCTTCTCTCAGGTCTAGCTAGCACAACCTTGGGTTCCTTACTTCTGCCACATAATCAGTTTCTCAGTAATCACTTCTGTGAAATGTAAAGGCCTCTCTGAGTTGCGCAAATCTTAGATTCTCTCTCCAATCCTAGTAGTCCATTTATAGCTGAATAGAGGGTATTTTCATTTTATTTTATTTATTTATTTTAAACAACAGAAATTTATTCTCTCACATTTGTGGAAGCCAGAAGTCCCAAATCAAGGTGTCAGCAGGGTTGGTTCCTTTGGAGACTCCGAGGGGGAGTATTTTCCATGCCTTTCTCCTAGCTTATGGTAGTTCCTGGCAATTCTTGGCATTCCTTGACTTATACACGTATCAGTCAAATCTCTGCCTCCATCTTCACATTCCCTTCTTCTCTCTGTCTCATTTTAATAACTAGATAACAACGCTAAATAGTCTCAAAGAGTCTTATCCTTCTCTGACTTCTAAGTTATCTAATAAGAGTGTCACCATTCTTGGTGGTCCTTAAAAACTTCCTCTTATCCAACTTTGACTTCTCTCGTCCTCATTTTTCATAGCCAGTCCATCAAACTCTTGTCTGTTCTTTCTTCCTACCATGATTTATATAGCAGTTTCTTTTTAATTGCCAGTATCACAACACTGTTCCAGCATATATCATCTCACCCCAGTCTCTAAACTGGTTTCACTACCTCCTGGCTCTTCTCTATTCAATCAATACTACAAATGCTCCCAGAAAAATCTTCCCCAAACATAATTTATTTCATGTCAACTTAGCTGTTTGAAAACACATGAAGCAAAGAAGACGTATGAATGGGCAATAAACACGTTAAAAGATACTTAACAGGCCAGCCATGGTGGCTCACACCTGTAATCCTAACACTCTGGGAGGCCAAGGCGGGAGGATTGCTTGAACTCAGGAGTTCAAGACCAGCCTGAGCAAGAGTGAGACCCGGTCTCTACTAAAAGTAGAAAAATTAGCAGGGCGTGGTAGTGTGCGCCTATAGTCCCTGTGGTACAACCTTGGGTTCCTCAGTCCCAGCTACTCGGGAGGCTGAGGCAGGAGGATCGCTTGAGCCCACGAGTTTGAGGTTGCTGTGAGCTATGATGACACCACTGCACTCTACCCAGGGCGACAGAGTGAGACTCTGTCTCAAAAAAAAAAAAGATACTCAACATCAGTAGTCATTAAGGAAACATAAAATTGAAACCATAATGAGATACCACTTCACACCCAGTGGTATGGTTAAAATAAAAAACACTAGTCAGTGCTGGCAAGATATAGAGAAATTGGAACCCTCATACACAGTTAGTGGGAATGTAAAATAGCACAGCCGCTTTTAAAGACACTCAGGCAATTCCTCAAAAGGTAAAATAGAGTTACCATATGACTCAGTAAGTCCACTCCTAGGTATCTGTTCAAGAGAAATGAAAGCACATGTCTACACAAAAACTTGCATATGAATACTCATAGGGGAATTATTCATAATAGCCAATAGTAGAAACAATCCAAATGCCCATCAATAGCAAATAGATAAACAAAATATGGTACATCCATGCAATGGAATATTATTCAGTGATAAAAAGGAATAAAGTATTGATACATGCTACAGTATGGGTGAACCTTAAAATATTATGGTACATGAAAGAAGCCAACCATAAAAGACCATATATTGATTCCCTTTGTATGATATGTCTGTGTGGAACAGGTAAATTTGTAGAGATAGAAAGTAGATTGGTGATTGCTCAGGGCTATGGAAGAAGAAGGAGTTGGAGTGACTGCTAATGAGTATGGGAATGTTTTGGGGGGTAATGAAAATGTTTGAAAATAGATCGTAGTGATGGTTGCATACATCTATAAATATACTAAAAATATATTGCTACAATTTAAATGGGTGGATTTTATGCTACCAATACTCATATTTATATATAAACTTCTTGGACTAACATTCAAGGTTCTCTGTGACCCACCCTAATCAACTTTTCCAGATTTGTCTATTACTACTCCCACTTCTACATGATTTCAGCCTAACTGATCCTTAAATATGCCTTGTGTGTTTGTACAAGCCTTCCCATCTACCCCTCCCCTTATCCTTCCAACCCTGGGGAATTCTCTCATTTCTTATCTGGCAACTATCTTCATTGAGTTAAGACAACTCTTATTTAACTAGCATATTTTGTTACTCAATGTTCTGCCTCTTTGTCCTGTGAATAGAGTCCCTCATATATGTCTGTAGCCTCAGCAACATCAAGTACAGTGGACTGAAAAGAGCAAATGATCACTCTGTTGATCTAAACCTTTTAAAATAGAGATAAACTTGTGACCAGCAGACAGCCAACCTGTCGCTGTGGTTATCCGGGCAATAAATATACATCATCTTTGTTTTTATAATTATAGAAAAAAGGAATCTTTGGACTCAATTAACTTCATAGAGCCTTCTACCAGTCTGTACTGCACACAAAGAAGCCGTGCCAAAGCTTTCATAGCTCTTCTTCTAGCACATTTACATTCCTAGTAGAGATGATCAATGGTGTGGTCTGGGGTATCACTAAGATCCACAGTCTCAGAGGCTCCAGTACGCACTCTCACTCCCAGATTTGTGTTTCATTTGGTGGGACCACAGGGAGACTTAGCTGTGCTAAAATTCTGCATGGGATTGGCTCCCATCAGAAGTGCAAAGAAGCTGTGTTCCCAGTATGGAAGAACAATAAGAAATTTATTATAAAAGAAGCTGGGCACAGTGGCATCTGCCTGTAGTCCCCGCTATTCAGGAGGCTGAGGCAGGAAGATCACTTGAGTTCAGGAGTTCGAGGCTGTAGTCACTATTATCGTGCCACTGCACTCCAGACTGGGCAACAGAGCAAGACTCCATCTCTAAAGAAAATTTTAAAAGAAAAAAAAGGAGGGAAATTAAAAGTAAAAAATTTTCCACCTTAGAGCACCTACCCTCTGAAAAAGAGGTACAGAGATTTTAAAACTTTTCCCTAGCTCAGGTTCTAGTCTCATGATCTTTATAAGATCATCCCCCAAATCTACTCCTTCTCTCACCTCTACTGCCTTCCATTACCTTTTCATGTACTTCCTATCCTCCTTCAACCCCACCTTTATTCTCCTCTATGTTCTTTTTATTCTAACTACACTTTAAAACATCATGCTTAAAAATCGGTCAATGAGACCAAGCATGATAGCTCAAGCCTGTAATCCCAGCATTTGGGACGCCAAGACAGAAGACTACTTGAGGCCAGGAGTTCAAGACCATCCTGGACAACACCAGCAAGACCCAGTCTCTACAAAAATTTAAAAATCAGCCAGGCGTGGTGGGGTGTGCTTGTAGTCCAGTATACTCTGGAGGCTGAGGCCAGGAGGATCACTTAAGACCAGGAGTTGCAGGTTACAGTGAGCTATGATTGTGCCACTGCAGTCCAGCTTGGGTGACAGAGAGAGACCCTGTCTCAAAACAACAATGAATACTGTGTCCTCAATGTAGAGGCTGGTAAAAAAAAAAAAAATAAAAAAATAAAAAATCAGTCAATGTATGGTTTTATCCAAAAAAACCTAGACATAAATAAAAACTAAAAATGTAGTACAGCAGCAATCCACTAACATAAAAATAATTCCCGGCTGTTCAAAATTATTCCAGAGTTCTTCTTAAGAAAATATGTTATGTTATGTACAATAGCCCAATTATAAAATTATATCCAATTAGTGTTTCTATTGAGCTATTTTTGAAAAAATTTCCTAAATTTATTAGGTCAAAAATTTTGATGTAACCTAATTTTCAGGCTTTAAAATGTAATTTCCTTTGGAATATTCCAAATACAGTCTAATTAAAAACTGCAGATATAAACAATAAGGACTTTATATTATATTCTCAGGCTTTTCACCATTCTTTAAGGAAAAATATCCAAGGCCATGAAAAAACAACTCACAAGTCTTAAGACATCACAACTATACATTACATATATCATAAATGTATACATATAAATTTGTGTTTTTACTACAAGACTGAGCTGTGCAAATTGCCACTTGCCCAGTATACCAAAGTGAACAAAAATTTATGCACTCTATTGTTCTGTGTTTTATTACTGGCACATATTTTAGTGGAGAAAGAAGGCTGTTAAAATTTTATTTTAAGTTTTTTCTTTAACTGCTCTGACACAAAACATTAAACAAACTATACTCACCGATATATATTCCAAGTGGCAACAGGTAAATTGAGAAGGAAGATGAACCAGTGCAATGAAATGAGCATTAATACAGTGACAATGGTATGGCCAATCAATTCTGGAATTACCCACTGCAAGGGAAGAACACAGTATTACATCTCACTACTATGTCCTTCCTGATTGTAAATGTTATTTGAAACTAAATCAATGAATGTACAGAGAACTTACAAACTACTGTTTCCGTATCATTTTTAGACTCCCATGTCCCAGATTTGCATACTGCTGTAACTGCATACCCCATGCAAATACATCAGGGCACAGCTTAAAAATAAAGCACTTAAATTTTAATTACTTTTTAACCTAAGCAAAGGCTTAGATTCATTCATTAAGCAGGTTTGAATAATGACTAGGGGAAAAAATAGAGTATTTACTTCCTATTCCAGTATCTGTGCTAAAGCCTCTTAGTCTAATTTGGGATGGCTGATAACCATACACATGTTGCCTTTCAAGTCAGAATATCTATCTTAAACATTTTCCAATCCCCCAAATCCTGAGGAAACCATTTTACAGTCAGGAAAAAAAAAAACCCCAAAAACCTTAAAAATAAGTATTTAAAAGCTTACAATAACATCTCAAAGTTGAACAAATATGATAATGAACCAGAATGCCAGAATCCTGGCCTATTGGCTGTATGGTGCTGTATGCCCTTCTCTATGCTCTCTTTGTCTACTCTGTAATTTTCTAGTTCTGGCATCAACATCTACTGTGGCAGGATTCTCAATTCATCAATGGTCCTCCTCTCCTATGAGTACATGTTTTCCTTTTAATCGAAGTTAACTTCTTTTAGTGGAAGTTAACTTTTAATGGAAGAATTGGCCCACCCCACTTTCAGAAATGAGGAAAACAAAACTCAGAAAGGTTAGGAAGATTGCCCAAGGTCACACAGCTACACAGTGGCAAAGCAATATAATATAAGCCTAGGCACACTCATCCCAAGTCTCTTGCATTTAGATTTTAGATTACTTTTTTGGTAAACAAAGAAGTAGAGATTTTCTGAGCCATAAACGTAATTTACAATCAATTGGAACTTTCCAGTATGTAATAAGCATTTTAAAAACTGTAACCAGGCCAGGCCTGGAGGCTCACATCTATAATCCTAGCACTATTGGGAGGATAGCTTCAGTTCAGGAGCTCTGAGCTTGAGACCAGCCTGAGCAAGAGCAAGACTTCGTCTTTACTAAAAACAGAAAAAATTAGCCAGGCATGGTGGCGTATGCCTGTAATCCTAGCTACTCAGGAGGCTGAGGGAGGAGGATCCCTTGAGCCCAGGAGTTGGAGGTTGCAGTGAGCTATGATAACACCACTATGCTCTAGCCTAGGCAACAAGAGCTAGACCCTGTCTCCAAATAAAGTCCTGTTTTCTGTCTCTTCCTTCCTTAACAAAATATGCCCTTCCCATAACTTGTTCTCAGCACAGTGGCACTAGACTTATATACCCCAGGCAGGAGCTTGGAAGGTTCTTCTCCAAAATAACTTAATGGCTCAGAAGAAAACAGTTACCAAAAAACTGCCATTTCAGGTATCCCGACAAAAGTCAATTATGGGCCAGGCGCAGTGGCTCATGCCTGTAATCCTAGCACTCTGGGGGGCCGAGGTGGGTGGATTGCTCAAGGTCAGGAGTTCGAGACCAGCCTGAGCAAGAGCGAGACCCCGTCTCTACTAAAAATTAGAAATAAATAATCTGGACAACTAAAAATACATATATATAGAAAAAATTAGCCGGGCATGGTGGCGCATGCCTGTAGTCTCAGCTACTCGGGAGGCTGAGGCAGGAGGATTGCTTGAGCCCAGGAGTTTGAGGTTGCTGTGAGCTAGGCTGACGCCATGGCAGTCACTCTAGCCCGGGCAACAAAGCCGAGACTCTGTCTCAAAAAAAAAAAAAAAAAAGTCAATTATGCTACAGCAAAGTCTACTAGTCAGTCAACAAGCCTAGACCACCCACTGAGCTTTCAATGATACAGAAAAAAAAATGACAGAAACTTTTAAAAAGAGCTTTCAATAAGCATTTTAGTGCTTTGCCCTTAAACATGAATAGAAAGCCATATATCAAAAATTTGAGGAAAGCCTCCAAAATGAAAGAAAAAAGGGAGAAAAAAAGAAAGTAACTTGAAGGAAACAGAAGAAAATTGCATAAAAACTCTTAATCAGTATTTTCAGAGAACTAAGAAAATCAAACATGAATCAAGAGAACAAAAAGCTCTTGGAAATTAAAATTTTAACGTGAATGCTAAATCTACTAAAAAATTCAGAAGATAAAGCAGAGGAAATCATAAAACAAAAAAGGTAGGAAAAATTCAAAGGAATAAAAATGAGAAGGCAGGAGGGTTAGGTGGCTCACAACTATACTCCTAACACTTTGTGAGGATCACTTGAGGCCAGGAGTTCAAGACCAACCTGAGCCACATAGCAAGACTGTCTCTATAGAAAATTAAAAAATTAGCCAGGCATGGTGGCGCATGCCTGTAGTCCCATCTACTTGGGATGCTGAGGTGGGAGGATCGCTTGAGCCCAGGAGTTTGAGGTTGCTGTGAGCTAGGCTGACACCACGGCACTCTAGCCTAGGCAACAAGAGCTAGAGATGATCAATGGTGTGGTCTGGGGTATCACTAAGATCCACAGTCTCAGAGGCTCCAGTACGCACTCTCACTCCCAGATTTGTGTTTCATTT